AGTCGGGCCTGTCCCCCTACAGGGGGATTTTGGGGGAAAAATTACGAATACTCAAAACATACCCTAAAACAAATAAAAAATAGCCCCCAGACTATTTTGTTACTATTTTGAATACTCCTCCTGTAGAGGGACAGGCCTGACTTAACTCTGGTTGAGTATCGTTCACCCGATCCCCATCCCCAGCGGCGTGGCCTGGGCCCCACTGGCCGATTTACCCCCCTAGATGGGGATAGAGGCCGTTCCCTTCGGGTTTCGAGGGGTGTATCCCCAACTGGGGTGGTAATTTGGTGGGGGTCTCAAAGGGGATGGGGATGGGGATGGGGATGGGTTGAGCAGGGACCGACCGTCCCAGCATTCCTCTAGTCCTACCACGAAATGTGCTTAGAACCCAAACATGTTCCGATAACAAAAACAGTTTGCTTAGAACATGAACCCGATGCGACAAAACAAAACAGTCCCAACCAGCAATGTTCTAAGAACTTTTTTCGGGCCGGGCGAAAGGGGGGGATAGCAAAGGGGGGGTCTGAGAATCAGCTCACAGCTAATCTTCCCGGCGCCTCCTGGCGCTGGAGGCGCCCATGTATCGAGGAATGGGCCCCTCGGTGGGGCCGAAACCAGCTGCATGCAGCAGATTTCGTACCCCCCACTTTCCCAATTCCCCCCCTTTCGTTCGGCCCGAATTCAGGGAACCACACAAAAGGTTCTCAGAACACTGTTTGGTAGGACTGTAGGCGAGCCAGGACGCTTCGCCACTGCCCAGACATCCGACGTCTCGATTTTTTCGAGACGCGGGCCCCCGACCTCCCGACCACTCCCCTGGGACCGGTTCTTCATCCCGAGCCGTTTTTTGGCGGTCCCGAGGCCCGGCGAGGGCCCCGAGAGGCCCAAAGCTATGAAAAACCTCTGCCTCGATTTTTCGAGACGCTTGACGTCTGGGTGCCTGCGTGGGCCTCGGCTCACCGATGCCGCAAAGGCGTGGGCCGAAGAGCCCGTTGCGCGCGCGGCCGCTCTGCTCCGACGCCTCCCGGCGCCCGGGGCGCCGGTGCCTCGAGGTGGGCGCCCGGCCGCGGGGCCGAAGCCGCGTGTGCGCAGCCAGCTTCGCCCCGCCTCCTCCTCCTCCTCCTCCTCCTCCTCCTCCTCCTCCTCCTCCTCCTCCTCCTCCTCCTCCTCCTCCTCCTCCTCCTCCTCCTCCTCCATCTCCCTCCTCGACCCCAGGGCAGGACCAGTCAGCATCGAGCCGACATCGGCTCGACTCGGACTGCGCGTCGGATCGGGCTGCATCGGCACAGATCGCACCGGCTGCGCCAGGAAAGCAACGGCGCCATACTGAAGGGGCCCTGGGACACACAAACAAAGACACACCAATAAAAAGATGCCCCATATGTTCCCACATTTTCGGGGCGTTTGTCTTCCCCCCCATCTCCCATATTTTCTTATATCTTCCTCGGAATCGACGATTCTAATTGTGTCTGTGTGTTTTTTCCCCTCCTGAAAGCACTCGGAGGCATGGAAATGTGGGCACCAACGCCAACACCAGAGGGTTGCCTCCACAGGGGGGAGGTGATCCTAGCTCTCGGTGTCGGTGGTAAAATGTTTCGGCCACCCTGGAAGCCAGAATGTTACCACCATCACCGAGATCGGGATCTTCTTCCCTCGGGGGGGGCACACCGCCGAAAGTGGTGTTGGTGTCAACCTCTAGGCCTGCGAATCACTCCCTTTCGTCTGGCCCTGAGATCCTGGCGTTACATTTTTTTTGCAACGGGCGTTTTCGCTCGATCTCCGGCCCCGGGATCCTCACGGATCGAGCGGGCTCGAAAAATGACTCAGAAAGATGAGGTCCGGGGCTCCAGACGTGATTTTTTCGATGTTGCAACTGTTTTGCAACGTCGGATCTCAGGAGGACCCGAGCGATCCTCGTCGTCTGGCTTGCGGGTCCCAATTCGGGTCTCCGGCGGCCTTTCGGGACGATCCTGGCACCCTCGGAAAGCCCTCGGCGAGGATCGTCGATGGCTGGAAGGTCGCCGAGGACTGGCAAAAACGACCGTAAACATCGAACCCCGAACTTGGAGGGGGGGGGCTAAACGATACTGACACTGCTACTCCCAGCACCTCTCCCGGGTTCTGGCCAGACTTTCGAGGCGAACCTAGCCGTGGAAACGAGGGCTCTCCAGGACAAGCAGCGGCATCGGTATCTGATCCCCCTCTGACTGGAAGCCGAAAACGGCGGAAGATCTCAGGACCCATTGCCTTCAGCACCCGTGCGCTCCATGGCAAGGACTGCTCACAGGCGCTCAGCGGCTGGGGCGCTCCGCGGCGCAGGTCCGACCAGAGACGGGATCTCGGGGGGGGCCCATCCTCCGGCGACGAGCGCTCAGCCCCCCCCCCTCCCCCCGTCGGGGAGGACGTGACGCCGTCATCATCCGCGGGGAAGGGGGGGAGGAGGAGGAGGAGGAGGAGGAGGAGGAGGAGGAGGAGGAGGAGGAGGAGGAGGAGGAGGAGGAGGAGGAGGAGGAGGAGGAGGAGGAGGGAGGAGGGGGGGAAGGAGGAGGAGGAGGTAAGGAGGAGGAGGAACTGACAAGTGATTTATGGGTGGAGCTGGACATTGGGTTCGAGAGAATGATGCCGCTCGGGACAGGAGGCGTGGTCAGAAACAACGAGAAAGACTGGAGGGAGAGGGAGGGGGAGGCGGAGCGAGGCCGCGGGGGCCGCGCGAGAGCAGCCCGCGCCTCGGCGATGGCCACGTTGTGCTCGGCCTCCCCGTGCCTGATGAAGAGGACCTCCCGCTGTGCACGGGGGGGGGCCGGGCCCAAGGGCGCCGAGAAAGGCCCAAGGGCGCCAGGGCGCCGAACAAAGACCCAAGGGCGCCGAAAAAAAGCCAAAGGGCGCCAGGGCGCCGAAACAATCCGAAGGGTGCCGGAAAAAAGCCCCAGGGCGCCAGGGCGCCGAAAAAACGCCCAAGGACGCCGAAAAAAAACAAAAGGGCGCCGAACAAAGCCCAAGGGCGCCGGGCCGCGCCGCCCTCCCCTCCCCGGACCCCCTCGCGATCGCGACCCAGACAGGATCGCGTCGTAAACGAAGATCAGGACGGGAGGTTTTTGGCTATCTTCGGCCCCAGGGGGCCCTCGCCGGGCCTCGGGACCGTCAAAACCGATTCAGGACGAAAAACCGGTCCCGGGGAGAGGGTCGGGACTTCCAGGGACGCCGTCCTGAAAAAATCAGGACGTCGCATGTCTGGGGAGCACCATCGCGAACGACGACGACGCCGACCCCGGACGAACGACGGCGGCGACGACGCTGGAGGAGATCGAAGCCGACGCCGACGAGGGACGCCGACGAGCGACATCGCCGCCGACGGACGACGACGACGCCGACAAGCTCGGCGGCAACGGCGACGCGCCTCCCTTCTCCCGCCGCCCTCCCCTCCCCCCCGACCCCCCTGAGCACTGGGCGCCGAGGCTTGTTCGCCCCCGGGCGTCTTCGTCCGGCCTCGGGCCACGGGACCATCGCAGGTCGGTCTGGCTCAACCTACCCCGCAGAGAGGAGGGGCGCCCGGGGCTCTGGTCGTGCCCGCCTCGCGACGGTGCGCTCCGCCGCGGCGTCGGAGCTCTTGGCCCCACCTCCTCCTCCTCCTCCTCCTCCTCCTCATCCTCCTCCTCCTCCTCTCCTCCTCCTCTCCCTCCCTCCTCCTCCTACTCCTCCTCCTCCTCCCCCTCCCCATCCCCTCCCCTCTCCCCTCCCCTCTCTCCTCCTCTCCTCCTCCTCCTCATCCTCCTCCTCCTCCTCCTCCTCCTCCTCCTCCTCCTCTCCTCCTCCTCTCTCCTCCTCCTTCCTCTCCTCCTCCTCCTCCTCCCCTCCCCTCCCCCTCCCCCTCCCCCTCCCCTCCCCCCTCCCCCTCACCTCCTCCTCCTCATCTCCTCCTCCTCATCCTCTCATCCTCCTCCTCCCTCCTTCCTCCTCCTCCTCCCCTCTCCTCCTCCTCCCCTCTCCCTCCTCTCCTCTCCTCCTCCTCCGCCTCCCCTCCTCCTCCTCTCCTCCTACTCCTCCCCTCATCCTCCTCCTCCTCCATCCTCCTCCTCCTCCTCCTCCTTCCTCCTCCTTCCTCTCGCCGTGCGAGATCGCGGCGGGGAAAAACGCTCGGCCAGGCCTCGTCCGGGGGCCCTCGCCGAACCCCGAGGCCGCTGAAAGTCGACACGCAGGAGGACAAAGCGGCCCCAGGGAGGAGGAGGAGGAGGACGGGAAGGAGTGAGGAGGAGGGGAGAGGAGGAGGAGGAGGAAGGAGGAGGAGGAAGAGGAGGAGGGGGGGGGCCGAGAGGACGGGGGGGGCCCCGCGCTGCGAGAGCACCGTGGCGTCGGGGGCCCGGGCCCGCCCTGCCCCCCTCCCCCTGCCTGGAGCTCGGGCCCCACGGGGGGAGCGCGGGCGGGGGCCGCCTCCCCGCTCTCTCGCTCCTCCCTCCCCCTCCTCCTCTCCTCCCGCCGCGGCCTCCTCCTCTTCGTCCGCCTCCTCCCCCTGCCTCGACGCGAAAGGTGGCGCCCTCCCCGAGGGCGCCGGCCAGCGGCGACGGCGCCGACGGCGAGCTCCGACGGACGCCGACGCACGACGCCGAGGGCCCCCGCCGACGGAGGAAGAGGAGGAGGAGGAGGAGGGGGAGGAGGAGGAGGAGGAGGAGGAGGAGAAGGAGGAGGAGGAGGAGGAGGAGGAGGAGGAGGAGGAGGACGACGACGACGACGCCGACGCCGAACGGCACGGCGACGACGACGCCGCCGACGACGGCGGCCTTCATGCGGCCGCGCCGCGCCCCCCGTCGGCCAGCCGCTGTCGCCGAGGGCCCCCGCGCGCGGCCCCGGGGCGCAAAAGTGGCTGCGGGGGGGAGGGAGGGAGGCGAAGGAGAGGAGGAGGAGGAGGAGGAGGAGGAGGGAGGAGGAGGAGGAAGAGGAGGCAGAGGAGGAGGAGGAGGAGGAGGTGGAGGGGAGGAGGTGGAGGAGGTGGAGGGAGGTGGAGGAGGGGAGAGGAGGAGGAGTAAGGAGGAGGAGGAGGAGGAGGAGGAGAGGATGGAGAGGAGGAGGAGGAGGAGGGAGGAGGGGACGAGGAGGAGGAGGAGGGGGACGAGGAGGAGGTAGGAGGAGGAGGAGGAGGAGGAGGAGGAGCAGGAGGAGGAGGAGAGGAGGAGAAGGAGGAGGAGGCGGAGGAGGAGGAGGGGGACGAGGAGGAGGAGGAGGAGGAGGAGGAGGAGGAGGAGGAGGAGGAGGAGGAGGAGGAGGAGGGGAGGAGGAGGAGGAGAAGGGGGGGGGGGGGGGGCAGCGGCGGACGACGGCGGCCCCCGTCCTTGTCACGATCCTCCCCGATCTCCCATCGCTCCCTCCTCTTCCTCTTGCCGTCGCTCGGACGTCCATCTCCTGTGCACCTGTCGGTTCCGTGCGTGCTTTTTTGCTCGATGGTCCAGGATGGTCCTCGATGGTTCTCGCCGAGAAAAAATGCACACGTTCGAGCGATGCGAAGTCCTCTGTCGGCCACCAAGGTGGGAGGGATGAGCACGAGGCGGAGGAGGACGAGGGGGGGAAGGGAGAGGAGGAAGGAATGAGAAGGGGGAAAAGGCATAACTACGGCAAAGACCACGACGATCCCCGTCTCCCTCCTCCTCCTCCTCCTCCTCCTCCTCCTCCTCCTCCTCCTCGATCCCCCCTGCCACTCTCGGTGATCACCTTGCCTGGAGGAGGAGGGGCAGGACGTTCAGGACGTAGGACAAACGACAACGCACGTCGTATTCGGTGGCATCCTGATCCCTGGAGTGAACTAAACACTCGGGACGGAGGCAAGATGACGCCTGGGGTCTGCTAGCTCCTCGCCAAATTATCAGCGGACCCCTCTGGGACAGGAGGAGGAGGAGAAGCGGAGGAGGAGGAAGGAGGATGAGGAGGAGAAGGAGGAGGACCAGGTCTAATTTGCGGGCCACTGCGCCTGAGTCGGTGCTTTCGCCTCGTTTTTCTACATGAGAGAGAGCGTGATCCACCGCCGCTTTACTGTGGAAAATTGCGGCCCTTTTCCTCCGGAACCCGGGGGTCCCCCCCCCCACCCCCCCGCTCGAAATTCCCCCCCCCACCTTTTGACTGTGGCTATTGAACCCACAATACCCCCCCCCCCCCCCCCCCCTCCTCCCCCCTTCCCCCGAGAATAAATCTCCTCCCTCATCTAACCCCTCCCCCCCCCCCCTCGATATCGAAAAACCGGGTGGGGGGGTCATCTACCGGTTCGACCCCCCCCCCCTCGAAAACGAGGGGGGGCACTTACCGGTTCGAACCACTGAGCTGTCCCACTGTTCCCACCACTGTCCCCACTGTCCCCATCACTGTCCCCACTGTACCTCTGTCCCATTGTCCCACCGCCGTCCTCGCCACCGCCCTCACCACTGTCCCCACCACCACTGTACCCTCCACTGTCTTATTGTTTCCACCACATTCCCACTGTACCCACACCACTGTCCCCCACCACCACCGTCCCCACCACTGTCCCACTGTCCCCACTGTTCCCACCATTGTCCTCACCATTGTCCCCACCATTACCGTCCCCACCACTGTCCCACTGTCCCCACCACTGTCCCGCTGTCCCTTCACCACTGTCCCCACCACCACCGTGCCCACCACTGTCCGCACCCCCCCTCGGTTTTAAAGGGGGGGGGGTTCGAACCGGTAGTGACCCCTCCTGGTTTTCGAGTTCGCCCCCTGGGGGGGGGGGGGGGGTTCGAACCGGTAGTGACCCCCCCTTTTCATGATGACGGGGGGGTGGGGAGGGAGGGGGTGTCGACCGGTAGTGACCCCCGGTTTTCCCGGAGGGGGGGGGGGGGGTTCGAAATCCTCGGTAGTGACCCCCCCCAGTTTTCCGCCAGCAGCGGTAGAACACGCTCTTTCCTACATGAGCACATGAACTTCACAACGTATGTTCGATCAACGTCACAACAGGAGGCGGATGCGGAGGAGGCGGAGGAGGAGAACGGGGATGGTGATGATGATGATGATGATGATGATGATGAGGAGGAGGAGGAGGAGGAGGAAGAGGAGGAGGAGGACTAGTATAAACCCAAAAGTCATCAACGATGTTGGAATAAACCGTCCCTGCAAGCTCCTTTTTCATAGGCCCCTACAGCGGTTCATTACACTGAGAGAACTGCCTCGTTGGAAGGCAGCCGTTTAAAGACCCTGAAGCATGCCAAAACATTGTTCTCCAGATTCCAACGCCACGGATCAACCTGACTGTTGCGTCTTGACGATCATGAATCGTGCCAAACCGCCATTCCTGGTACTTAAACACCGCGAATCAACATAACTGCTGTACCCTCATAACCCTGAATCCTTTCGAAACACAGTGTTTGGCACGCTGATCAAGGGAATCCGTGAACTTCTTGCAAAATTCAAAAACGAATGCACGCGGCGCTAAGGCGAAAACCACATTTTGAAAAGGAACCGCCCTCAATACGTGAAGCGTTCGCAAGTGTTAATAGCGAATGTGTGTGGCGCTAAAGCGAGAGCCACATTAACAAAAACAACTCCCCCCCCTCAATCCGTGAAACTCGTGCAATGCTTGAAGAAAACGAATGCGCGCAACGCTAAGGCGAGAACCACACGTTGAAAACGACCCGCCCTCAACCCGCGAAACCCTGGCAAACGTTAAAAACGACTGTGCGCGGCATTAAGGCGAGAACCACGTTTTGAAACCGGCCCGCCCTCATTCGTGAAATTCTTGCAATGTGTCCCAACCGACCTGTTGTTGTGTCCTCGTTTTGAAGAGACAGCGCCCCGCATTCCTTCTCCTCCCATCCTCTCCTCTCCTTTCCTCCTCCCCCTCCTCCCTCCGCCCGCCACCCCCTCACTTTGGCACACCCCTCACACGCTTCGTGACCCCATAGGGAGCTCCACCGAAGGTCCCAATGGCGCAGCCCGCATGCGTCTCCCACACCCAGCAAAGCGTTCCGTGGCCCCATAGGGAGCTCCACACCCAGTACAGCGCTTCGTGGCCCCACAGGGAGCTTCACCGAAGGTTCCAGCGGCGCAGCCCGCATGCGTGTCCCACACCCAGCACAGCGCTTCGAGGTCCCGTAGGCAGCTCCACCGAAGGTCCCAGTGGCGCAGCCCGCATGCGTCTCCCACACCCAGTACAGCGCTTCGTGGCCCCATAGGGAGCTCCACCGAAGGCTCCAGTGGCGCAGCCCGCATGCGTCTTCCACACCGAGTACACCATTTCGTGGCCCCACAGGGGGCTCCTCCTAAGGTCCCAGTGGCGCAGCCCGCATGCGTCTCCCACACCCAGTACAACGCTTCGTGGCCCCATTGGGAGCTCCGCCAAAGGCTTCACCTGCGTAGCCCGAATGCGTCTACCCCACACGGTACAGCGCTTCGTGGCCCCATAGGGCGCTCCACCGATGGCGTTTCGTGGCCCCGTAGGGAGCTCCACCGAAGGATCCAGTGACGCAGGCGGCATGCGTCTCCCCCACCCAGTACAGTGTTTCGTGGCCCCGTAGGGAGCTCCACCGAATGTCCCAATTTTGCAGCCCGCATGCGTATCCCCCACACAGTACAGCGCTTCGTGGCCCCATAGGGAGCTCCACCGACGGCCCCAGAGGCGCAGCCCGCATGCGTCTCCCCCACCCCGTACAGCGTTCTGTGGCCCCGTACGAAGCTCAACCGACGGTCCCAGGGGCGCAGCCCGCACGCGCCATTTTCACCCAGTACAGCGCTTCGTGGCCCCATGAGGCGCTCCACCGAAGAACCCAATGGCGCAGCCCGCATGCGTCTCCCACACCCAGCACAACGTTCCGTGGCCCCATAGGGAGCTCCCCACACAGTACAGCGCTTCGTGGCCCCATAGGGAGCTCCACCGACGGCCCCAGAGGCGCAGCCCGCATGCGTCTCCCCCACCCCGTACAGCGTTCCGTGGCCCCGTACGAAGCTCAACCGACGGTCCCATGGGCGCAGCCCGCACGCGCCTGCCCCGTAGAGAGCTCCACCGACGGCCCCAGGGGCGCAGTCCGCATGCGTGTCCCCCACCGAGAAAAACTCGTGGCCCCATAGGGAGCTCCACAGAAGGTCCCAGTGTTGCAGCCCGCATGCGTCTCCCCCGCCCAGGGTAACGTTTCGCGGCCCTGCAAGGGGGGGCACCACCGAAGGCGATATCTACGAATGCGTTATTCACAACTGCATATTCTTGCGTCCTTCGCCAGGCTAATTCAAAAGGAATGCGCGCGGCGCTAAGGCGAGAGCCACATTGAAAAAAACGGCCCGCCCTCAATGTGTGAAACAGTTGCCAATGTTTAAGCCTCAGGGTCAGAAATGGTGAGGAAGTCTCAAGCGAAACGCCCGGCCCTAAAACTGGCCTCGGGATGCGAGAGGGAAAAAATAATGGAGGGAGAGGAGGTGAGGAAAGGGAGGAGGAGGAGGAGGAGGAGGAGGAGGAGGAGGAGGCGGAGGAAGAGGAGGTATGAGGAGGGGGAGGCGTGACGAGGAGGAGGAGGAGGCGGAGGAGGAGGAGGCGGATGAGGTGACGGAGGAGGAGGGAGGAGGAGGAAGAGGAGGAGGGGGAGGGGGGAGGAGGGGGAGGAGGGAGGCCGGGAGAGGAAGGGGAAGGAGACGAGCGGGGCAGAGGGAGAGGGAAGGAAGGGGGCGCGGAGAGCCGCAGGAGCGAGCGGACGGGCGCCCGCCTGCGCGCCAGCGGTGCCCCTCGAAGGAGGGGCGAGGCGCAAGAAGGCGCGAACTGGTATCCTACGCGCCAACGTTGCCAACCTCATCAACTCTCCCTCCCCCCCTTCTATCCTCGTACACCCCTCCTTCTCCTCCCCCCTACCTCCCCCAACTACTTCTATCCCCCTCATTCT